GACTCGCCATGATTCTCCGGAATAGAGAGGTTGTTAGAGCCGACTGCTGCACTGAGCCTGACGCCCTGCCCTCGAAGCCCGAATAGTTGAATGGGACGTTGGCGGCCTGACCTACATCGACTGGCATTGAACGAAGAAATCATACTTGCTATTCGCTGTTTCGCATATTCGCCAGTGTCAGCCATCTGAGGGTTGATTCAGTCCCGGACGAATGATGTTGTTGATTCGGTGGACACTGGACAAGCAAAAACATGCAGATTCTCCAGTGTATTGAGTGGGGACCAACACGCGCTACTTAAGAGGTCCATGCCCTTCTATGGGGACTCTTTCTCAATGGACAGTTTGCCACAATTCAACTCAAATGTCTTAAGGTCCTTGAAGCCACGTGGCTGGGATCGGTATTGTTTGCAACACCGATGGTGAAGCGGTTATCATGCTTGCCTTCCATTAGGTATTTAAGCAAGCGGCAGGGGTTCGACTCCCCTTCGGTGTATGATCGAGGAACCGTTCTTTTTTCGTTTTGATACTTTTTGCGGTTTCAACTTTACTTCTAACTTCTTACTCACAATAGTGAACAGTCCAAGTTGTTTTTAGCAATGTTCAGAGCAACGCTAACGGCGAGTATTCATAGAATGCCGTAGCAGGAAAAGCTGTGCATTAGGGTTAGGGTCTTCTTGCGTCTTGCCCACTGACAATCATCATCCACAAACGCTTTTCGGTTTATCACACACCACTGTCGCAGGTGCGCAGGAGATTCCTGCAGCGAACCGGCGAAGATGGCTTATCTGGAGTCTCCTAGGAAGGGCGAACACAATTTGTGTATATACACAGCACCCACACGACATCCGGGACCAAGAGCCAGGACCCGACTCAGGGAACACAGAACACAGGCGAAAGAAGGAATAGGAAAAAGAGATGACGACGGTGTCGCCTTTTGCGAGGAGCACGGCGTTTGAGGAGAGTCATGTCGGGAGAGAGCAGACTGTGAGTGCCCCGCCTCCTTTTGCTTTTGTTTGTTTTTGCGTGTACGGCTGGGATAGGCGCAATGTCTGTTGGGTGTCGATTGCCCGCCGAAATATAGGTCGGTGCTATGGACAGCTTGGTTACTATAGCCTTAGGATGGGCGCACATTAGCTTCGGAGCTTATCTCGTTCTGCCTCTTCTTCTTCAGACCCTCTCTTCCTCTCCCGACTCAACAGCCCTCTTCCAGATTGAAGAGATGTATTCCGTCCCCGAGTCATTCTTAGAAATCGAGGTCCGGAACCCGCAGACGACCGGTGAGCATTCCTTTCCCTCGTTCTTACCTCGTACTCACGTGTAGCAGGATTCGGACGCAAGCAGTTCACGTCATACGAGATCATCACCAAGACCAACATTCCCGCGTTCAAGCTCCGCCATTCCCTCGTCAGGCGGCGCTACAGCGATTTTGAGGTATCCGTCCTCTCCCATCCTCCTCCTCTTCTTCCCCTCACCTCCCCCCCTTTCTACAGGCGTTCCGGGACATTCTCGAGCGCGAGTCGACGCGTGTCAACATTCCACCACTTCCGGGAAAAGTCTTCACCAACCGCTTCAGCGAAGAGGTCATCGAGCAGAGGAGGGAGGGGTTGGAGAGGCGAGTATTGGTGTCCTCTTCTTCGGCTGATCCTCACCTCCAAGTGCTTAGGTTCTTGTCGGTCGTCGCGGGCCACCCGCTGTTGCAGACGGGGAGCAAGGTGCTCTGTGCGTTCTTGCAGGATCCGAGTTGGGATCGGGGCATGTGGATGTAAGAGCCCGTTCTATAACAATGCGCGTACATGTTCGTTTCCTCCAAGTTTCTGTTGTTGCTGTATATTTCTGTGCTTACCCTTCTCAATCCATATGTATCCTTTTCCCTTCATCCCGCGTTCAGGAATCCGGTTTGATCGAGCAGCGCGAGAAGCCCATTCAACTTGAAACCTCGCGGTTTATACTGCGGGTGGAGAACTACAACGACGGTAAAGCATACGCTAGGACCGAGAAACGATAATATGATAATCAACGTTAGTCGAGTCAGGGGAAACTTTTTATGCCACTTCGTTTGATTTCTCTCCGCCCTTCCATGGACGCTCACTTCAACGACTTGGAGAACACCGAAATAGTGCTGTGAGGTTTTGATACGGCGTTGAGCCTGACACACACGCCTCTCCCTGCGGGTGTTATTTGCAATTGGGTCACTTGAATTCAAATGCTGGGGAGTTTGACTGAGAGTGAGCTCGGTATTTACATACACTTGAGCCGTAAAACTCCCAGAGTTATGCAAGTCTCAAGACCCGCCTTGCATAAATAAAAGTTAGGGTGGTGAAGTAAACCCTAGGTTTTGATACACCTCGGGTTTACTGCGGTTTTTAACGGTATTGATACGGTATTGAAACCTTGGCCAAGGGATGGGTGGGTTTCGATACCGACACGTGATCATTTCACGTGTCGGCGCGCTGGCGCTTAGAGAGGCTGGGATTGGCGGGACAAGGGCGGGATGGGGGCCGCGAGCCGCTGCGCCACATCACGTGTCCAAAACACGTGCTGGTATCGAAACCGTTACTAACGGTATCGAAACTAGGGCCTCCCAGGGGGTCGGTATCGATACCGTTACTAACACCCCCGGGAGGTTTACTGCGCCACCCTAATAAAAGTTGTACTGTACGGTTTCGACCGTAAGTTCGCATAACGCGTCACGCGGGCCTCGGAACACAACTTAGCTTAAATCATAACGCATCACGGTCCTCAAATTCAGGGTCAGATCGCCCAAAACGGCAAAGATTTCGCTCCCGCCTACGGCGGGACATCCAAATAAGGTAATTCCGGGCATTGTGCCTGGTTACGAACTTGTTTCCTGTAAGTTCGCGGCATAACGCGTAACGCCCCGCGAACTTACGGTCGAAACGGTACAGTAGTATGCGCCACACAAGCACAAATACTACCAGTAAAAACCAGCCAATCTGAGGTAAATCCAGCACGATAACCAGGAGCCGACCTCCTCAAGGGAAGGCCGCGTACGTATATTGAAACTCTGGGAGGGCTACGTAATGTACATGAGTTGGGTGGGCAACAGAAAATACTGTAGTGTTTCGACCGTAGGTTCGCGGCATGTGACGCGATATGCCGCGAACTTACAGCGAACAGCTTCGTAGCCAGGCACACACGCGGGAATTACCCGATTTGGACTGTCCCGCCGCAGGCGGGACCAAAAATTTCCGCTTTTGGAAGGGTGTGCCTGGCTTCGAGGCTCCGTGACGCGATATGGGATATATATAGGTTCGCTTCGTCGGCCGGTGTGACCCGATATGCGAATATCCGGTCGAAACGGTACAGTACTGGCGGCGACGCGGTAAGAGCTGGGGTATGCGAGACATGACCCGCAAGGCTATGCGTCCCGCCAGGCGTGAGACAGTGAACCGTGTATGTCCCGATCACAGAAAAGTCAACGATACGGAAACTAAGAACAAATAATGTGAGATTCAGGAATGGAGGTGAAGAGTAACGCCGAGGGCGGTGCCGATGGCTAACGAATGAACGCCGAGGGCGCCGATGGCAATCTAGATGAAAGTGAGTGCACAATGTCTGCCGAAGGCGATGAGAACTCACTCGGTTTGTTTTCGCAACCCGACGGGTAACAAACCACGGACGTCTCTTTGCGACCTAGAGGACTAGGTAGAGACATCGCTTCGTGAGTAAAAAAGGAGAAGGCTGAAGTGAGGAAAACTCACCTCATATTGGCCTTCTGTAATCCAAGATTAAAACCGACCAATCTGAGGTAAATCCAGCACGATAACCAGGAGCCGACCTCCTCAAGGGAAGGCCGCGTACGTATATTGAAACTCCTAAGGGTACTGAATGTTGGGAAATGATCGCAAGATGGTGTCAATTGTCGTCCGTGGTGTGTCCGTGGAAGAGTAAGGCTTGGAGTATGATGGGATTTTTCCGGATATAGATCTGGAACGTGTCGGAGGCCCAGCGGCCTGCGGCCTGAATCAGGTGAGGGGCGCATCCGTCCTCGGCCATCGCTGTCGCGCCGCCAGCTCTCATGGACTGGCCGGCGAACTCGAGGTCTGGTTCTAGCTGCCGAAGGCGTGCCATGAACCAGGCACGGGTTGGGACGACGTTTTTCGATGTGATCCAGAGAAACGGATTGAGGCGGGAGACCTTGTCCCTCGAGGCGAGGTAACGACGGAAGATGGGTGCCGGGTCCAGGTTACCACGTCGAACGATCCGGATTTTGTTGCCTTCAAAAAAGCGGTCGGCTTTGTGATACGGGAGGTTGAAACCATATCCACGCTCGAATACGACGACGGTCGAGCGTAGTGAACACTTCCGGTAGTCCCTGATCGCAACATTATCAGGGACTGACAATTCGCCGAGTCGCATGAGAGCGGCGAAGCCGGTGTGCAGCATGGTGACAAAGAGAAGGTCGTCATGGGAAGGATGGTGTCCGAGTGAGGCAGTCGCTGTGGATAAATGAGTGCGAGCCAGCGGGAGTTTCCTCTTAACCACTGACTTGAACCGTTTCCGACAGCCGGCAAGCGTTCGTTTGACTAGATAAGAACGCCGCGTCGCTCGAACGAAAGGGAAGTACGCCTCGAGTTTATTGCAGATACCCGAGAGGTAAGTTCCGACAGAGTCAGGTTTTATGTGCGCCGACATATAGACCACGAAGAAGGAGAGCGTGTCTTCTGTCGGGTCAATCGGCAGTCCATGCATTGAGCAGAAAGCAAGATAAGAATTGAGAGCGGAGTCATAATTGCCACTGGTCGAGATGTCGATCGCCATGCCCAGCGCAATTGCTCGTTCATGGACGAGCTTGTCGCGGGACCAAGGTTTCCTATGTGGTTGCCTTGGTTTCCGCGTCTGGGGGATTTTCATTTTTGAGATGCCCCCAGCGTCGTTCGAGGGGGTTTAAAAGATTCGATGATCAGCCGGGGGAAATGGACGTGGAGAAAGTCGAAATATTCGTGAGAGAGAGCGTCAGCGACGACATTGTCGGTGCCGGGTACATGGAGGACACGGATATCGATGTTAGACCGCACTCGAATATCGATAGATGCGAGAAGGATGTCGTTATAGTCGGGTAGCGCGCGGAGTGTGTCGAAGATATGTACTGTGTTCAAATTATCAGTAAAGATTGTCAACCGTGCAGGAGATACTGTACTATTTCGTTCAATTCGTTCGTCACAGGTCACAAGGACCTTCGAATTGACGAAATGTCACAACGGTCACTGAAAATTTTGCGAAAAAACCCCTGGCGGGGCCCCCGCTGGCCTCCCGACGCAGCTCCGCCGCGTCGGCTATTGCCATATATGGTAATCTGACGAAACGAAAATTTCGTCAGACCCGGTCACAGGTCACAAGACCTGACGAATTGATCAAAATACTACAGTAGCTGAGAGGCAAAGAAGGCCAACCCAGAATCCTCATACCATTGCAAGGCAGCTAAGACACAGAGCGCTTCCCAGTAAAAGATGAGTTCGCGCATGCTATCACCATCAACGGGACAAGTAAAACCAATGTTGAGTTCCGGGATCCAGAAACCCATGCCGGTGAGAGACGCGTCGCAGTAGATGGTCAAGTTCGCCTCCGTTCGCGGGTTCCAGTCTAGGTTAGCGAAGAACAGCATGCCAGACGAGGCCTGAACATAGTCAACGAACCAGTGGAGTTCCCGTATCAGAGGTTTGTTGAGCCGGATCTGAGCGTGCGAGCGTCGTTTACCCGACATCTTGGAGTAGAGATTGCATAACGCCGGCTTGAAAAGCGGAAAGACGTTAAGGGACCAGTTGACCCAACCAGCGAGTTGTTCAAACTCGTGGAGCGTGCGACGCCGACTCAGAGTGTCAGCGAAGTCGCGGACGTGGTCGACGAGGTCGGACTTGGAATCTGCAGGAAGGGTAGCTGTGAGCTCATTGGGGTCCACCAGGAAGCCAATAATGACAAGAGTCTCACCCCAAACTTGTTTCTTAAGTTTGTGCGGAATCCCAAGCCAGTCCCACAAGCGCAGGAGACGCGTCTGATCCGTCGGGTAGAGCTGTTGGTACGGCTCGTACCAGCTCATGTCATCGACGAGTCCGACACTAAAGCAATCGTCAACGTAGCAACAGAGGAAGGTCATGTTCATGATGCAAATGGCGATCCACACCACGAGGCCCATAAAGGACGCCCACGCCCGTGGCGAACTGCAACTGCCGAAACAGGCACGCCAATCCACGTAACGCAGCCACATGGATCTCTTGTCTCTACTTCCACCACCACTTAACGACTGTATATTCGCCGTGACCACCTGCTTTATTTGCCATAGCGGGTGCATAGGAATATTTCGGAACGCACCAGCAACATCGGATTTCCAGAGGAGCAACCGTTTACCCGGATGAAGCTGGCTGAAAAACAAGAGGAGTGGGATGAAGACTAGGAGCGAGTCTAGGCGAGCACCCTTTGTCTCCGTTTTGTTAATCATGTTGTTCTGACAGAATTGACCTGCAGATTGATTCGCGACTAAACGTAAATCATCAGAGTGCGGTTTTGGCACCGCAATGTTCGGAGTCGAGTACATTCCGGGAAGCAGATCTGGGCCGAAGGCTGGTGAGTGCTGTCCCTTCTGCACTTCCTCGTCACACTGATTCTTGATGAAGTCGCGTTCATCTACAGATGGGATGTTAGCCCAGGCGTTATCCCATGTTTCAGGGAAATCGCCGCTGGGATTTGTGTCCGCCCACGGCCAGAAGCCGATTCGCAGCGCTCGGATTACTGACGCGACGAATGGTCGGTTTGGATGAATCGTCAACAAGCAAGCGAGACGGTCAATATTGATTGAAGTAGATACACGGAAAAGGTGAGGATTATTATGGATCGTCCTAAGCACTAGAGGCTGATACTCCTTTTCAGGAGGCCCCGGTAGTGGCTCGTCAATTTCCGTGAACCACGCGGTCCTGCTTCCTCGCGGTGTGATTTTCTTCCAGCCAAATCCTCGCAGATAGCGAGGTAGGAAACTTCCAACAACGACACCTCCATCTTGACTCCCTCCTTGCATATCTCCACCTTCGTCACATTCATCGCCTTCAACAAACTCGCACGCCGCCCGCCAAATCCTGGAGACAAACGGGTAACTAGCTGAAGGCTCAGCTACTCGTCGTCTTGCAGGCGGTGGCAACGTGGGGTCCGTTGCAAATGTTGCAGACGTGCTGTCGGGGACATGGGTTACGGGGACATCGTCCCTCGTTCCAGTTATTGCAGACTTCTCGCTTTTTCCCCGTCTTTGTTCTCCTTGACTTTCCTTGGGCATCTGCTCCGACTCCTTCGACGTCGTTGTATAAGACGCCGTCTCTGTCGAGGAAGGCCAAGCGGAGGCGTTTGATTTCTGGGACATCCGACTGGTTGAACAGAATTCCTGGGTTTGACCCGATGATTTTACGGGCTGCGACGTCGTACGCGATGATCCGGAGGTGGGAGTTCTCGCTCTTGACGGTGAAGAGATCGTCAATGTGCTCCCTCCAGCTGCGGAGTTCATCTCGACGGAAGGGGAAGACTGTCTCGACTGCCGCGCTGTACTTATCAAAGCAGCGGAACCAGACAACTGAAGAGCTAACCATCTTTTTATCCGCGCGGCGTCCCAAGGCTTGCTGTAGCGTCGACGCAGCTGCTCCGAGAGGAGCGGGGTCGAGTTCAAGTTTGGTGGAGAAAACGAAGGCATTGATCTCGTCGAAGTCGACAACTTCGTCGAGGAGGACCTTCTTCCAGAGAGCTTTTGGGAAGACGGGAGCATGCCCGGAGCGCAAGAGGTCGTGTAGGGCTCCTTTGATGTCAAGAGCATGGTTTTCGACATATTCTCGCACGAGTTTGTGCTCGGGGGAGAGGAGGACTTCTTTGACGCGGGCGGCAGGGCCCCATCCGAACAACGATTTGTTTTGTTCGTCGCTCGATTTGGACTCGCTAGAGCGAGACCGTCGGTGTCTTCTTCCATGGTGGCGCTTGTGCTTTGGGCGCTCATCGCTGGAATCTGACCCTGAACTGTCTGAAGGGGTGGGATCTTCTCGATGGTGCTTCCTCTGCCTGTCATCTCTGCCGTCTCCACTTCTGATGTCTCTGTCCCAAATTCCTTCTCCCGACTGATCATCGCTAACAGTAGCTTCGCGGCCTCTTTGTTCGGTGCTCTGCCGACGTCGGACATCGCTCGCGAGTCGCTGGAACCAAGGTGTAAGTTCGCCTTGTCCATCGAACTCGTAGATGTTGGCGGTGGAGACTTCGGCAATAAAGGCCACGATCGTGGTTTGCACTTCAACGTCGGAGGCTGTTCCTCATTCGTATCGGCTGTAGATTTCTTCGAGCGCATGCTCGACAACTTCGAAGTAATCTTCTTCGGGTAGCGATGGGTCAGGGAGGCGAGGGACGGAACAGTCGCCGTGGTTTTGATCTTCGGCATTTGGGTGCATCACTCTGTTGATTCGATAGATGGGAATGACAATTCGTTTATCAACAGAAAATACTGGCGGCGACGCGGTAAGAGCTGGGGTATGCGAGACATGACCCGCAAGGCTATGCGTCCCGCCAGGCGTGAGACAGTGAACCGTGTATGTCCCGATCACAGAAAAGTCAACGATACGGAAACTAAGAACAAATAATGTGAGATTCAGGAATGGAGGTGAAGAGTAACGCCGAGGGCGGTGCCGATGGCTAACGAATGAACACCGAGGGCGCCGATGGCAATCTAGATGAAAGTGAGTGCACAATGTCTGCCGAAGGCGATGAGAACTCACTCGGTTTGTTTTCGCAACCCGACGGGTAACAAACCACGGACGTCTCTTTGCGACCTAGAGGACTAGGTAGAGACATCGCTTCGTGAGTAAAAAAGGAGAAGGCTGAAGTGAGGAAAACTCACCTCATATTGGCCTTCTGTAATCCAAGATTAAAACCGATCACCATTGAAGCATACACCAAAGGGGAGTCGAACCCCTGCCGCTTGCTTACAGAGCGTCAGTACAACCCGCATGGAAGGCAAGCATGATAACCGCTTCACCATCGGTGTATACCGTGGAATTTGTGGCGTCCTCTTCTTCATTGATACAGGAATTTGCTTGAACAACACTTCACCGTCTTTATCTGCTGCACCAACCACGAAGTGCCCGAGCCTCCCACAAGATGTTTCGGCTTCAGTGACGACATATATGCCTTCATATGACAAAGAACAGGCAAGTTCGTGCATACAGATAATGGCCGTGGCCATACCTCGGATCCAAGTCAAGGTAGAGGACTCGGAGACTGGGCGTTGAGGTAGGTGAAATCCGAGTCATCCCTGCATAGCTCTAACTCACACATTAACCCGAGCAAGTCAACTTTTTGAAGAACGAATCTGCACAGCCACACAAGGCTGCCACGCTTTTACCGCCATCATCCCTTAGGCTCACTAACATTGTTAGTAACAAGTACAAAAGAGCCGCTAAGCATGTCCGCCGTGGAAGCCCATCGACGGTCTACGCGTCGATAGGGCGCAAATTCGGGGTACAAAGGGACCGGGTCTCACAGTGTATGGAGATACTGCTCTTTTGTGTACGGTACGGCACCGGCCTTCAGATATCGCACAGCGTCGTGGTAGCACTCCCGCCGCGCTCAGCGGCCTCTGCTTTCTACTCCCCCGTATTGCAGCCAGTCCATCGGGCTTGCCTCTGCCGACTCGAGTCCCCCTCATTCAATTTTGGGTATCCGCGATCGATGGCTGGATGCGTCGTCGGACACCTACAGCTATCTCACGCAACTCCATTCCTCTTTGTTCTCAGCCTCAGCCTTTACTATGTCCTTGGTGCGCAGCCACCTATTGCACTTCTACTTTTGTGGGTATCGCAGCTGTCTGCGTTTCCTAGGACAGTCCAAGCCTTGCTCATACTGCATTACGCTCCGCTCCCTCGCTGCTACATCCCCTTCCTCTCTTCCAAATATACTTGGTTTGTTTGCTGACAAGAGAGCACCACAAGAGTCCGAAGACTGTCATTCTTTCCGATGCCAAGCTTCCCGGCCGCGCGAAATGGGGTAGAAGATGCTTGCGGGCCCTTCATTTCCTTCGCAGGTATGAGTCAATCCTCCAGCCAAATGTTGACAATCTCTGTGCGCTCAATGGATTTGTCGAGCGGAGCTGCCAAATCACCGAGTGGAGATTCGGCGAAGCCGTCTTCTTCTTCTTTGAATCTTTATTCGCAGGGACACCTTTTCGTGTGCAGATGTTGACTCGTCGAGAACATCTTGAGTGTTCGGTTGTAAGCTAAAGAGCGGGGACGTACTGTTTATGGTCGACTACAGAGTCGAGTGCACTATCAGGTGAATCTTCCCATCTATTTCAGACCGGGTCTTACGCAACTCTGCGTAGTAGATGGGAAACATCATATCCTTACCGTCACATCACATGGAGACTGGTGGGTGTTTTTTTGTCAAATGCAGGCTATAAGTACCTGGCCAGCTGTCATACAGTACGGCGAGTCTCCACCATGACGAACCTCATAGGCGACACGCTCCAGCAGCTTTCGTACCTCCAGCTCTTCTTCCTGCTCGTCGTCGCTCGCTTCGCCTATCTGCTGGTCTATCGATTGTATCTTCACCCGCTCAAGTCATTCCCAGGCCCTCGCTTCGCGGCCGTCACAGATTATTACCAAGCCTACTTCGAGGTATGGAAGAATGGAATGTTTGTGCAACACCTGGAGGAGTTGCATGAATTCTATGGTACCCATCCATCCAATATGAACTGCGAGTTATGTACTGACGCTTGCTTGAGGTCCGGTGGTCAGAATACGACCGAATGAAGTATGTTTTACTACTTAGTGCGCCCGCATCGGAGGCTAACGACGATGTAGCTTCACTTCAACACGGCTGAAGCGTTCTCTGCGATCTACCCATCCTACACTGGATTCACCAAGGATCCGGACTTTTATACGTGTTTTGGAGAGGACGATTCTGCTTTCGGGATGACGAACGTCCATGACCACAAGATACGGCGGGAGATTCTCAATCCTCTCTTTTCGCGCCGGGCGATTTTGAAGCTCGAGAGCTTTGTCCAAGAAAAGGTGGGGTTTGGCTTGACTCTTATCGCACAACGCTCAAGCCGAACAGGTTGACCTCTTCGCCGAGCAAATCCACAAACACCAAACCGCGCCCGTCAACCTCTTCCGCGGCTTTCGCTCGCTCGCCATGGACGTCGTGACCGAGTACAGCTACGCGCACTCCTTCGGGGGACTCACCACGCCCGGGTTCGACCACCCGATCCTGCGCGCCGTCGAGGGTGCGATCCCGCTCATGACCGCGACCAAGTTTTTCCCCGTCCTACACGCGCTGCACCGTCTCCCGACTGGCTCGGGGTCGCGCTGAACCCGGAGATGGGCGGCGTGGCGCAGCTCCGTGCCTTCTGGGAGCGCAGGTCGATGCGATTTTAAGGACCCAGAGAGTTTGCAGAGCGTGGAGCACGAGACGATTTATCACCATTTGATTACGCCTGAGCTGGTGAAGAAGGGGAGGTGCCGTCGAAGAAGGCGTTGATTGAGGAGGTGGGTTTTCCACGTTTCTCTTGGTAATTCTGGTTTGGGACTCACGAGTTTAGGCGATGGTCCTGCTTATTGCGGGACGGATACGTCGAGCAATGCGATGACGATTGGGTTCTTTCATTTGCTGGCTAATGAGAGTGTCAAGAAGACACTGCAGGCCGAGCTACGTGAGGCGTGGCCGGAGAAGGATACACCGTTTTCGTATGAGATGGCGGAGAAATTGCCGTACCTTGTAAGTCTATGTCACTACTGACTTTCATACTCAAGCACTGACTACGTCGTACATAGACTGGCGTAATCAAAGAGGCGCTGCGTCTCAGCTCCGGCGTGCCCGTGTCCCTTCCCGCATCGTCGAGGCCGCGACTATCATTGACGGACATCCGGTTCCTGCTGGTGTACGTCTCCTTCTGCTCGTCCGCATCTGACTAATGGGTCTACAGAGCGTCGTCGGCGTAGCGCAGCCGTTCGTCTTGAAGAACCCCGACATACTTCCCCGGCCCGCTGGAGTTCAGACCGAGCGCTGGATCGGTGCGGACGCGCAGAACTGGACAAGTATCTCATTGTGTTCTCGAAAGGACCGCGAAGCTGTCTTGGAATGAAGTGCGTACACCTTTGATCGTCCTTCGAGAGTAACTTGTACACTCATTCTTGGAACTTTAGTTCTGGCGTGGTGCGAGCTCTATCTGGCTTTTGCGCACTTGATGCGCAAGTTTGATATGCAGCTGTTTGAGACGAGGTTGGTCCTTCTCCAGCGTTCTTGATGTGCACAGGATTGATTGCTTCCGAACTTAGTCTGGAGGATATGGTATTTCGCGACCACATGGTGCCGGTGTGGACGACGAGACCGTTGCAGGCTATCGTTACTGAGCAGGTAGAGTAATACTGATAGAGTCCGATGTAGTCTTAAATTTCAATATCATTAAGTTTAACTTCATCAGGAAAAGCACCAGTTAATATTATGCCTCGCAGTTGTGTTAGTACAATCATAGTCTCCCGTAGTCAGCCTACGTATAAAGCCGCAAGCAAGTTCCGTTTATAGTAGTCTGATTTCAGTCGCGCCTTGATGTAGGAGGTGGGCCGGCTCGATAACGGTGCTTGTGGGCCGGAGTTTACGAAAAATACAAAGAAAAGAAAAAAAAGAAAAGAAAAAGAAAAGGAGGGAAGAAGGAGAGGGAGAGAAGGAGAGGATGTTAGTGCTTGCCTCAGCTGCTCTGGTGTCTGGACAAGGGCGTGCGAAGTTGGCAGGATTGGCAGGCGCAAACGGGATGCGGTGTTAACATCCGATCGCTGATGCGCGGAGATGTCCGGATTCGGCATGCGCGCCGAGGACATAGCGATGTGCTTTAATCCAAATTTTTGGGCGCGCCTGACGGCGCGTCAATTTAATGCAGTATTCTTGTGTACTGATAGACTGTGAATAAAAAAAGTTGGAGCTGCAGGATGAGCTTCCAAAGCATACCAAATGTTCTTTACTCTCGCACTGCCAAGTCGGAGTTTCAATAGATAGCGATATTTTGGCTCATGCGCGAAAAGTAACTGAACGAAGGAGCACCAACATCTCAGACCCACTTTATTGACTGTAGGTCATCTACAAATACCCTTTCCTTCATCCTGGAGATGGTTGGTGTGTGTGCCCGGTACTTACTCACAGTTTGACCCATCACAGTTCTTCTCACATCTGACAGCACTAGGAAGCTTCTACAAATGGCTGAAACTGCTGTAATTCTACAGTTCTAACACTATATACATCTCAAAACTTGCTCTACAGGCAACCAGCAAGCAATACAAGCACGGACCTCTCCTGTACCGGAACAACACAGCGAGGAATCGAACCCTCGCCTTTCGGCAACTGACATCGCCGAATCGTGGGAGTTTTCTGCCACAAATGGTAGCATCGCTATCGCTATCGATAGCGACCCCACAGGCAACGTCAGCGAGCCGGTGGGGCTCGATAACGGTGCTTGTGGGCCGGAGTTTACGAAAAATACAAAGAAAAGAAAAGAAAAGAAAAGAAAAAGAAAAGGAGGGAAGAAGGAGAGGGAGAGAAGGGAGAGGATGTTAGTGCTTGCCTCAGCTGCTCTGGTGTCTGGACAAGGGCGTGCGAAGTTGGCAGGATTGGCAGGCGCAAACGGGATGCGGTGTTAACATCCGATCGCTGATGCGCGGAGATGTCCGGATTCGGCATGCGCGCCGAGGACATAGCGATGTGCTTTAATCCAAATTTTTGGGCGCGCCTGACGGCGCGTCAATTTAATGCAGTATTCTTGTGTACTGATAGACTGTGAATAAAAAAAGTTGGAGCTGCAGGATGAGCTTCCAAAGCATACCAAATGTTCTTTACTCTCGCACTGCCAAGTCGGAGTTTCAATAGATAGCGATATTTTGGCTCATGCGCGAAAAGTAACTGAACGAAGGAGCACCAACATCTCAGACCCACTTTATTGACTGTAGGTCATCTACAAATACCCTTTCCTTCATCCTGGAGATGGTTGGTGTGTGTGCC